TAAGGTTTTCCAAAAATTTAGTTTAAAAATGAATTTTAATAAATATCTCGAAAACTTGAAAAATTATCAAAAATTTTGGTCGAGGGTACTGAAAAATTGAGATTCTTGAAAAGTTGCATGAGATCCTAAAAAAATCTGGAATATAACTCTCGACGAGCGAATTCGAAGGACAAAGGAAATGTTTGAAATTTTTGAAAATTTCGAATTAATTTTTTTTTACATTTTTTAAATTAGATTTAAATGCTGAAAAAATTTCGGACAGAGACCTCGACGAACTGATTCGAAAAATATTAACTAATGATCCTAGGTTTGAAAATTAGTCGAAAAATTCGATATGGAAATTGAACTTTTTAAATAATTCGAGACCAGGGAGAACGGTAAAAAATTTCATCAAAAATTGCAGTTAATTCGAAAATGTGCCAAATGGTCAAAAATTTTTGAGATGTAATTCAGGACGAACCGATCTGAAAAATAAAAAGTGTCAATGATGCTAGACCAAGGTTTTCGAAAAATTAGATTTGAAAATGTGTTTTTTAAATATCTTGAAATTTCGAAAAACTGTCAAAAATTCAAATGGTGGGCTATTGAAAAATTGGAATTTTCGATAAGTTGTCTAAAATCCTAAAAAAATTACGGCTAGCTATCTCGATGAACTGAATCGAAAAACGTAAATTTTTAATTAATTTTCCTCGAAAAATGTTTTCGAAAAGTCCTGTCTGAAAATGAAACTTTTTAAATGATTCCAAAGTTCTAAAATCTGTATTTCATACATAATTGAAGTTTTCGAAAAATTGCTTCAAATTCTTCAGTAAATTCTGATATGACCACGAACCCATTCGAAGTACTAAAAGTTTTAATGGTTCTTGAACAATATTCTCGATAAATTCGGTTTGAAAACCTTTTTTTTTATTCTCTACAGATCAAAAAAGGCAAAAAAATGATATCGTGGGGCACCCATTGAAAAATTGAGATTTTTGAAAAGAAAAATCACCAAAAAATTCTGGGATATAGATCTCGGGTAGCTAACTCGTAAAACAATAGTCCCAGATCAGGATTTTCGAAAAATTCGATTTGGAAATGAAATTTATTAAATATCTCGAAATTTCCATATACAATAAAACATTCATGTGTAGGCATATTAAAAAAACTATATTTTTAAATAACTACAAAAAATTCTGGGATATGTCTCGACACTTTGTTTCGAAAAAACATAAAATATTTATTAATGATCCACGAACAAGAGCTTAGAAAAGCTTGACTGGGAAGTTTCAAGATCAAAAATTTCATAAAAGATAGAAATTTTTGAAATGTTGCCTTAAAATCCTCAAAATTTTGGAATTCTCGACGAGTTTCACGAACAAGAGTTTCGAAAAATTCGGTTTTAAAGTTATTATTTTAAATGCCTCCAAATCTCGAAAGACAACAAATTCATACGAAATTTTTGAAAAATTACACAAAAATTCTCACAAAATTTAGGAATATAAGTCCCGGACTAAGATTTTCGAAAAAATCTCTTTGAAAATGGAATTTTAATAATACCTTGAAAACTCGAAAAACTATGGAAAAATTCGTATGAGGGGTACTAAAAATTAAAGATTTTTGAAAGATTCTTGAAAATCCTGAAGAAATTCTGGGATAGAGAATTCGACGAACTGATTCGAGTAACAAATTGTTGATGGTCCTCGAACAAGATTTTCGAAAAATTCGTTTTGAAAATGAACTTTTTTAAATAATTCAGGGGCTCAAAAATATTTGTATAGAAAAAATATGAAATGCTGAACATTTTGAAAATTACCTAAAAATTTTCAAAAATTTCTGGGATTACGAACTGATTCGGAAACATAAAGTATCAATGATCCCGGACCAAGATTATTCGAAACTTCGATTTGAAAATGTTTTTTTAAATATCTCGAAATTTCGAAAGCAGTAAAAAATTCAGATGGTGGGATATTGAAAAAATGAGATTTTTGAAAAGCTGCCCAACATCCTAAAAAAATTCGGATACTAATCTCGACGAACTGATTCGAAAAACGCAAATCGTTAATTAATTGTCCTTGAGAAAGATTTTCGAAAAATTCTGTCTGGAAATTAAACTTTCGAAATAATTCGAAAGCTCGAAAAACGGTTAAAAATGACATGGGGAATTGCAGTTTTCAAAAAGTTGCTTAAATTCCTCAATAAATTTTGATGTTGATCACTAAACTAAACGTGTTCATGGTTCTAGAACAACATCTTCGATAAGTTCGATTTGAAAATGATTTTTTTTAATTCTCTAAAACCCAGAAAATTCAAAAAATCATTATAGTACTCATTGATTATCGAACAGTCGCTTAAGAATCCCCAACAAATTCTTGGGTATAGATCTCGACAAGCTGACTCAAAAAACAAAGTGTAAATAGTCTATAAATAGATAAGATTTTCGAAAAATTCGATTTGAAAATGAAATTTATTTAATATCTCGAAATTTCCATAAACAGTAAAAAATTTATATGGAGGCACATTAAAAAATTTAGATCTTTAAATAATTCAAAAAAATCCTCAAAAAATTCTAGGATTGACGATCTGGTTCAAAAAACTTAAAATAATAATGATCCACGTAACAAGAGTTTAGCAAAACTCGACTTAAAAATGAAATTTTTGAAATATCTGGAAAGTTCTAAGATCAAAAATTTTATAAAAGAGCTTCACGAACAAGATTTTTGAAAAATTCGGTTTTAAAATATTTTTTTTAAATACTTTCAAATCTTGAGAAGCAGGCAACAAATTCATACGAGTCGAGATTTTGGAAAAATCGCACAAAAAACTCAAAAAATGCTGGAATGTAGATCTTGACGAGCTGGTTTCTAAAAAATCTGTTAAAAAATGGATTTTGATAAATATATCGAAAACTCGAAAAACTATCAAAAAAATTCGTATAATTAAAGGGTACTGAAAAATTGAGTTCTTTGAAAGGTTGGCCAAAATTAAAAATAAACTCTGAAATATAGCTCTCGACGAGCTAATTCGCAAAATATAAAGGGTCCCAAATCATGATTTTCGAAAATTTCAAAATTTTGTTTTTCAAATATTCCGAAATTTCGAAATTCGATCAAAAAAGGGATATTTAAAAAATTGAGATTTTTGAACAGCTGCCCAAAATCCTCAAAAAATTTCGGACAGAGAGCTCGACGAGCTGATTTGAAAAATGTCGAACAATGGTCCTAGAAAAAGACTTTCGGAAAATTCAGTCTGAAAATTAAAGTTTAAAAAAAAATCAAGAACTCGAACAATGGTAAAGAATTTCATGGAAAAGTGTAGTTTTCGAAAAGTAGCCAAAAATATTTTTTATAAACACCTCGAAAACTCGAAAAACTATCAAACAGTTTGTATGTGGGATACTGAAAGATTGAGGTTTTTGAAAAATAGCTCTCGATGAGCTAATTTAAAAAATGTGAAGGGTCCCAAATCAAGATTTTCCAAAAATTTCAAATTAAAAATTTAAGTTTTTAAATATTCCGAAGTTTGGAAAAGAGGTTGACAAATTGTAAATAAATTAAAAAAAAAAAAATGAGATTTTTAAACAGCTGCCCAAAATCCTAAAAAAAAGGTGATTCGAAAAATGTTCATTAGTGATCCTAGAAAAAGCTTTTCGAAAAATTCGCTCCGAAAATTAAACTTTTTAAATAATTCGAGAGCTCGAGGAACAGTAAAAAATTTCAGGAAAAATTGCAGCCGATTCCAAAAATTAAAATTCGATTTGAATATATTTTTTAGCTATCTCGAAAGTTCGAAAAAAGGTCAAAAAATGCTACCAATTGACAAATTGAGAGCTTTGAAAAGTCGCATAAATATCCTTAAAAAATTCTGGGACATAGATCTCGATGAGCTGATTTGAAAAACTCAAAGTGTTAACAATCGCAAACTAAGATTTTCCAACAGTTCAGAGAATGAAACTTTATAAATTTCTCTAAATTTCAAAAAATTCATATGGATGGGAACTAAAAAATTTAGTTTGACGAAAAATGTGTTCAAATAATTCGAAAGCTGCAAAAGCGGTCAGGTCAGGTCAGGTCAGGTCAGGTCAGGCCAGGATTTTTAAAGATGAAGCGTTATCTTTAAAAATCGAAATTTTTTAAAAGTTAAAAAATTTGGTGTGAATTTTTTTTAATATTTCGAACACTCTAAAAAAGGTAAAAAAGATCATAGGGAAATATTGCGCATTGAGATTTTTGATAAATTGCCTAAAAATCTCTCTTCTTTTGAACATTTGACTTGAAAATGCAACGATAAGAGACAAGCTTTCAAAACTCTTTGGTTGTTTTCCATCGATTCAAGGAGTTTCCGTAGTCAACCTTCCAATATTTTTTCGTAGATCTTCATAAAATTCAAAAGTAATGTATTTAATTCGAAGCTGTTGACTGATACTTTTAAAATAACTTGTCCAACACCGATGCGAACATCATTTAAGAGTGAACAACAACAATAATAAAAAAAAAGTGTGTGCGGCCTCAAATAATTTAAACTTTTCTAATACGTACTTTTAACATCTGGGTGTCTCCTACTAATGACAATTTCCAGAAAAACAAATGTAACCATATTTTTCACAATTCAGTCACCATATTTTCACTTTCGCTCCACCCTGACTCGGAGTGATGCGCTCGTCATAACCGCTAATCATCTGTTGCGCCATTTTTTACTCCCCTTGCTACCTCTGCACCGCCAGGACGTTTCCCTCATCAGATAACCCCATCACCCTCCATTAACCCCCAACAAGTTGCTCTAGTACATTACTCCCGGCAAAAAAGACGTCCCCAGCCCGTATCAGCACTATCTAAACACCCGTTATTTTTTATACACCAGCGTTCCGGAATCCCTTAAGCAACTCGGAACGATCCTCAATTCCCTCCTAAAGAGTTCAGTATGCGGTCAGCGGCCGCTTTCACCCTCAGACAAGCGCCGATGTTTATTCTAGAAAAGTGCACCGACGATGTTCGTTAGGGGAAAACGCGCTATTTTCTTACCTGACTCCTGTGCCCAATCTATCAGAGAGGAAACTCGGGATGAGAAGCTGGAAAAACAGTTCTCGAAACGACCCCGAGCGTCCAAACCGACCGTTTCGAAGTTTGTTTTAACGCCGCACATCAACGCCGTCGCGCATGCTGATGATTCGCCGATCTGGGCGTCCATGTTGTAGGTCTGAAAGAGGGATTTGCATTAGAAAAGGTAAGTAAATATGAGAAAAAATGGGGCTGTGCGGCCGTTTCTCTCAAAAGGAAGCCGAAAAAGAGCCGAGGAAAAGTGCAGATGAAAGCGAACGCTTATTGATCTAGATTTTATTTTGTTGCGAGGGTTTGTTGTTGCTGGAGCTGAATCTTAACTAAAAATAGAGTGTTGGATGATTATTGGTACCGAAAACGCGAATAATTGTCCCCGCCAGAAGCGATGAATTGAGAGCGGATTTCTAGGTTTAATGCTTTTTGTGAAAAATGTAAGCACTTCAAAACTTTTTTATATCTGCAACTATGATACAATTTGGAGTCATTTGACACATTTTTTTTATGCTTATTTGCTTTTTTTTCAATTTTATGCATATTAAAACTTATATGCTTATTTAATGCTTTTTTCGACGAATATGAGTTTTAGTGCATATTTTGTTCAAATGCCGGCCTTGTCGGGATGACAAATACTTGTTAGTTGGGCGTATCGTATCGTATGCATTTTACCTGGACTTGACCATTGAAGTACACTTACTCAAGACCCTTTCTGTGAATAGGTTCCGGTCGTTTGGGTAATAAAATTTTATTATAGGATTGGAAAAATACTCCATAGATTTGTGACGAAGAGTCTACATATTAAGAAGGAAAAAAGTCAAATCATAAGCCCCGCCCACCCACCCTGTCTCAATTGTGACGATTTTTCTTTATTGGTTGTGAGCAAGAAGGCGGAGCTTAATTGCAAAATTCTTATTTTTCAACGAGAAATTACCATGTGAAACGTGTTCGTAAATAAACGTGTTGTTCACAGAAAATTTTTAAGTAAAAAAGAAAGCCAAAATTAAGCTTCACCATTCGGCTCACGACGAATAAGAAAATTTGTCACAATCGAGATGCGGGGGGGTGGGCGGAGTTTGTATTTTGTTTTTTTTTTTTCTTAAATGTGCGTAGTTTTCTATTCACGACGAGAATTTGAAAACTTGCTTAATATGATAAATTTTTAAACAAGTGTAGGAAATAAAATTTACCATTTTAAAAATGTTTTCAGTCGTTTGTGATGAAGAGTCTGCATATTAAGAAGGAAAAAAGTCAAATCATAAACCCCGCCCACCCACCCTGTCTCAATTGTGACGATTTTTCTTTATTGGTTGTAAGCAAGAAGGCGGAGCATAATTGCAAAATTCTTATTTTTCAACGACAAATTACCATGAGAAACGTGTTCGTACATAAACGTGTTGTTCACAGAAAATTTTTTAGTAAAAAAGAAAACCAAAATTAAACGTCGCCATTCGGCTCACGACGAATAACAAAATTTATCACAATCGAGAGGCGGGTGGGTGGGCGGGGTTTGTATTTTGTTTGTTTTTGCTTAAATGTGCGTAGTTTTCTATTCACGACAGGAATTTAAAAACTTGTTTAATATGATAAATTTTTAAAGAAGTGTGGGAAATAAAATTTACCATTTTAAAAATGTTTTCAGTCGTTTGTGATGAAGAGTGTGCATATTAAGAAGGAAAAAAGTCAAATCATAAACCCCGCCCACCCACCCTGTCTCAATTGTGACGATTTTCCTTTATTGGTTGTAAGCAAGAAGCGGAGCATAATTGCAAAATTCTTATTTTTCAACGACAAATTACCATGAGAAACGTGTTCGTAAATAAACGTGTTGTTCACAGAAAATTTTTTAGTAAAAAAGAAAGCCAAAATTAAACGTCGCCATTCGGCTCACGACGAATAAGAAAATTTATCACAATCGAGAGGCGGGTGGGTGGGCGGGGTTTGTATTTTGTTTGTTTTTGCTTAAATGTGCGTAGTTTTCTATTCACGACAGGAATTTAAAAACTTGTTTAATATGATAAATTTTTAAAGAAGTGTGGGAAATAAAATTTACCATTTTAAAATGTTTTCAGTCGTTTGTTATGAAGAGTCTGCATATTAAGAAGGAAAAAAGTCAAATCCTTACTTCCGTTGATAATGAATTAAAGCTTTTAACCAGATGTTCTTTTTCGGCGTTTTGCGGCAAGACCGTTGAAGATTTTCTAGTATTAATTTATTATTTGCCTTACAGGCTTAATAATATTCCCAGTAGGGGTACAAATTAACTTAATCTACCTCAGATAAATCAATAACAATAAAAATAAATAAAATACAAAAAAAATAAAAATTCGAGTGTTATATAATAAATATTCTACTCTTTCTGCTTGCCAACCCCTTATCTTGCATACTTCTTTCATCCAGTCCAGTCCTCTTCCATCCTTGTTTAGCACTTCTTCCCTACTTTCCTCCGATTTTCTCAATCCTTCACATCCTTCCAGCATATGCTCTATTGTTTCTCCCTCTCTCCAACATATCCTACACCTTCTGTCAGTTTCATCCATCCAAAAATTATTCTCTTTCTCTTCATTTCCACACCTAAATCTCGGCATCATTCTTTTCTCCTTTATACTCTCTCTCTGTGTGTACTTTGGTGCTTCATCCTTTACTATTTTTCTATAGTCTGCGTTATATCTAGGCTTCGATATTCTCGACCTATGTTCTTGCTTATCTATATCCTTATCTCTTACACTCAGTTGTTCTTTCATACTCTTTCCCATTTCTCTCATTCTCTCTATTTCTTCACGTGCATATCCCTTTCCTTCATAATACTTGTCCCTTTCGTTCCAAACATGTTTCCCCCTTCCGTTCTTATTTCTTTCCAACATTCTTGCAATTTCTTGCAATCACCTCTCTCACTGAACTTCTCCACTCTCATTTTCTCTCTTTTTGTTTCTTCTCTCACTATATACCCCGGCGTATACTTTTCCAATTCCAATGTCCATTTCAAGTATTTTTCTTGCACTCTCTCTATTTCTTCATATTCCCTCCATCCCCAAATCTCAGCTCCGTACATGAATACACTTTTGACCAAACTATCAAACATCATTATTCTTCTCTTATAACCATGTCCAAATTTTCTCTCTCCTATTCCCCATACTATTCCTACCACTTTGTTTGCTTTTTGGACCATTTCTTGAATATGCCCTCTGTCTGAGTTATTGCTCTTTAATGTATATCCTAAGTACTGGAATTCTTTCACCTGTTCAATCTTCTTCCCTCTCCACGCCCATTCTTCCTTCTCCTTTCTTACTTTCTTCCCAAACACCACCATTTTTGTTTTTTCCACATTCACTTCCAATTCCTTTTTTTTACATACTTCTCCAAACTTTTTATCATTGCTTTCATTTCTTCTCTTTTCTTTGCCACAATCACCAAATCATATGCGTACGCCAACGACCACAATTTCTCTTTGCTCCCATTACCACCCCTCCTGTCTGTGCTTTTCTGAACATTTCATCTATATTTCCTAGATAAGCTGCAAACAATGCGGGGCTTAGTGGGCATCCTTGTCCCACTCCTCTATTTGTATAAAAACTCTCACTCTCTATTCCATTCACTCTCACCGTATTTACTGTTTCTTCATATATTTCTTCGATTTTCGTTACCAAGTATGCATCTATTCCCTTTCTCCTCAAATACTCCCACATTTTGTCTCTATTCACGCTATCAAACGCTGCTTTGAAATCTATGAACAATGCGTACATTCGTCCACCCTCTTTCCTTATTTCTCATCCCACTAAATGCCGCAGGATGTACACATTGTCCATAATAGTACCTCTTCCTTTCCTAAACACTGCCTGACCGTCTGGTAACAAACCCCTTGCTTCCATCTCCTTTCGTAACCTCTGATCGAGTATCATTGCATATATCTTGTACACCTTATTGAGCAAGGTAATCCCTCGGTAGTTCTTCGCATCACTCTTTTGCCCCTTTTTAAATAATGGGATTATTATACCTTCTCTCCACTGCCGAGGAAACCCTTTTCCCTTCCAAACTCCATTTACCACTTCGCATATCTTTTCTTTCACTTCTTCTGTCCCGAACATCCACGCTTCGTTCTAGATTCCATCCCCTCCTGGTGCCTTTCCTCTTTTCAGTCTTCCAATCTGTCTTTCTATTTCATCTTTTGTTATTTCCGAACCTCTCCACATTTCTTCCGTCGTTGTGATTCCTTTATTTATTTTGCAGCATTTTTCCTCACAACCTCCCAATAATTCCATAAAGTGTGTTTTCCATACATGTATTTTGATTTTCCGGCTAATTTCAGTCTTCCTTCTCCGTTCCTTGTTTATGTATCTCCATACTTGCTCTTCTGTTTTCAGGGACTTTATTGTCTTCTCTTCTTCTTCTCGTTTTTCTCTTTTTCTTTCTTCCCATTTTCTCCTATAATTCTCTCTTGCTTTTAGGTACTCTTCTTTCCTTCCCTTGTTATTCTTCCATTTTCTTAATTTTCCCTTGCTTTTCTCTTCAACTCACTACATTCTCCGTTCCATCCATTATCCTCGCATGCCATATGTATATCTTTCTTTTTTCCGTAGCTTCTACAATTAGGTTGCTCAGTTCCACCATCATGGCTTCTATATCTTCTTTTACTTCGAATTTCTTTTTTTCTAGTCTAATTCTGTATCTTTGAATTCCCTCTTCATGCCATATTCTTTTTTCTAATTCTTTTCTTTCGTGTCTTCTCTATTGTTTTTCGTACTCTTGCTCTTTTCTTTTGATTTTTATTTCTAGAGGCATGTGGTCTGATTCTACCCTTTCCCCCACTTTGAAACTCTCTATTTCTTCCCACGCCTCTTCGTTGATAATCCCATAATCTATAATTGATTCTCCCATCGCCCCTACGTACGTCCATTCTCCTTCTTCATCTCCTTCCTTGTTTCCATTCAAAATTTCCCATCCCATTTCTTCTATTATCTGCCACAATATTTTCCCTTCTTTGTTATTTGCTTTATCTTTTATCTCCCAATCTTGCGTTAAAATCCCCTCCTATAAGTATTTTTTCATCTCCTTTTTCTTTTGTTTCCATTTCTATGTTTATCTTGGTTTCCTCCATTTTCTTGCTATAAACGGTTATTATTTCCCATCGATTGTTATCCAGCTGTA